TGGACTAGATGACCTTTAGAGGTCCCTTCCCACCCAAACCATTCTGTGATTCTATGAAAGCATATAAACATTTAAAATTTAAAAAGCAGGTTAACATCAAATTAAATTATCAGGCTAATTAAACCCCATCTACTAAGCCCGAGGTCCCTTCCAACCCAAACCATTCTGTGATTCTGTCATCTCAGCTGGGGATCATGGTGTTTGATGGTTTCATCTGAGGTGATGGCGGTGGAGTTGCTGAGGCTGTTGGTGCAAGAACTACTTGGGGTTGTTAATACTGTTTTAAGGCTTCTGTCTGTGCAGGTCAAACAAATTCTTTTTAGAGCATTGGTTCCTGCAGAAACCTCACCTTTGCAATAGAGGCACTTTTGAGGCACTAAATAACGCTGCCTTATGCCTCGGGCGATGTAGGTAGGGCTCTTGCTGCAACTTGGTGGTAACTGAGATCTGCAGGCAATGAGGCTGCCTCTACCTCTGCCCTGAGCATGGTTTGGTCTGGGTTCAGCTGGGTTTTACCTTCTGCTGAATCAGGATCTGTGATGCAGATGAGAGCACAGCCCCGTGTGCCCTTCCAGCAGAGGTTTGTCAGCCTTGGAAGCCCTCCCTCGCTGCAGGCACCCTGAGAGGTGCGGTAAGGCGGCCCACATGCATTTCACGGCTTGCTGGTGTGTGGGTAGCACTTTGGGACCTCAGGAAAGCTCAGCACCCCATGGAGCAGTGGGGAACCAGGACTTGAATTCAGTCATACGATTTGTCTGGTGCCCAAAGCAACACACTGCTTTGACCAAGAATGCCCCCATTCGTTCTGCCCTCCCACAAAGTAACGTTCCCTTCCCTTTTTCCAGGTTAGTTTTCATAATCAGATCTGGAAGCAAGTCCTCTGCCAGGCAAGCAGCCAGCAGATGTCTCAGCAGTGGGATGTTCTCTGCCCTCCAGCCCCATGGTGCTCGGGGCAACTGGGTGAGGATGAAGACCAGCATCTCCTACCAGCTTGGTCTAGTGGGGAGAAGCGGTCACGTTGGTCCATGAGTACAAGTTCAAGGAACAGGTGATGCAAATTAAATCGGTTTTTGATCACCCGCAGAGAAAAGTCCAGCAGAACCCTGGGGTGGTGCTTGGACAAAAAGCAGACGCCTGCTGTCTCAGGAATCTTCAAAACATTTCTCCTTTTGCCAGCACTGTTTGAGGCTTTCCTGGGTTGGGCCTGTGCCAGCCGCATCATGCTCCAGTCTTCCGCTTATCCCATTCAGGGGCTGGCACATCAGGGAAGCAGTGTTACCTGTCCTTAATTGATGGGGCAGCACTGGGCACGGCGAAACAAATACCCTGGGGATATTTGGTGTGTCTTCTCCATCTCCTGGGAGCGGGTCTGGAGCAGGCAACCACCCCAGCCTGCTTCTGCCGGGTCCCTCGTGTGTGCCAGCAGCACCTCGATGAGCCATGTTTCAATCACAGCACACGTTACAGAGAAGCTAATTTTTGTACGTAGGGATGAGGGTAAAGGAGAGGCTTGTTTAGAAGCAAATTCAACGCCTAATTACAATGTGTGCCATCAGTCTGTCCTTTCACCAGCCCGCGCTGCACTCCATCTCACCGAGAGCCCCTTGCACCCTACCATGCTTGATTTTAGCCTGAGGGATGTGAAGCAGCATGTCGCCTGCGTTGCCACATCGCAGCAGATGTGTGCCAGAGCGCTGCTGGCTCCCACCGATGGCAGGGAGAGTCACGATGATGTATGTGTATGTGCTTGTGTTTTGGCAGAGCTGCAAAAATCAGCATTTACGACGTATTACGGAGCCACCTCCCCTTCTGTCAAGTGAGAATAACATCATAAAAGTGCACATCCCCACGAGGGAACAATTTGGTAGCAATCAGCAGTTGTTGACTCTTGAACAGCTTCTGCTGGTCCAGCCAGTTCTTTAAAGGCTGGGGTTTTTGGTCTTTTTTTTTTTTTTTTTTAAATGGCAGCTTGCTAAGGGCCAGATACTGTTGTGACAGTACCTCTAAAATCCTTAAGCTGCTTGAATCACTCCAAGGAGCCAAGCAATAGCTAGAATAAAATATATCCCACAATGTTGTTCACTTCTGCTGACAGCTGCAGTTTAAATTACTGGTGCAACCTTTCAGCATAGCTAGCTTGTAAAAACTAATAAAAAATAAAATGAAGTCATAACAGCTACTTGCCACCGCTTCTATGCTGGGGAGTAGAGAGAAACTGCCTTTCTTTTTGGGTGAGCCTGTGCTAGTGTACTATTATTGCTGCTAATATTATATCCTGATCGCTGTCATTAATATATGCTGTAATTTTTACTATATAAGTTACGCAGTGTTTATTAGAGAAGGGGCTTTGCTTTTATCATAAGGTAGCATTTATCCCATGAGCACCCTAATGTTTTTCAGAGCTTACATTAGAATTATGCTTTTAAAAAAAACTAAGCTCTCAGGAGAGCGGTTCGTTTGGCTGATGCGGATTTGGGCATCCCATATCCAGATGCTCTGATTCCTTGGGTCCTTTGCCCCAGGTGTCCGGAGTTTCAGAGACCCAGAATAATTTGCGACTTCGGTTAAATTATTATTATTTTTTTTCAGTGTGGATTTTTATTTTGTAAACTGTATGCATTCATTCAAAGCTTGGAATAAAACATTTCGAGACCTCAAAGACCCCGTGAAGGTTGTGTACAGATGCTGGGTTCGCATAGTGTAGGTGGGCGTTGAAGCATGTATTTTGCAGGGCATGTTGAAATTACATCCTCATCTGTGGCTGTTGAGTGACATCTTCACTTGTGATTTCTGGAGAACTCTGGAAAAAGCTTTGCAGTCCGGGGAAGAGTGAGGGGTAGAGGGGTCGTGGCTGGGGGGTCTCGTTTCTGCAAACATCTTGTAGCCTCGTGCAGATGGAAACGTGCCACATCCTGCAGCCTGCCAAGAGAGAGAAGAGCTACGTTCACAATATGTTTCCTTCTTTGTAGCCCAGAGATGGAGGCACTTTGGAAGCATTTTGCTAGCCAGAGTGAAAAAGATGGAGGCAGCCTTTATAAGCAGCTGCCAGTCTTGTCACCAGAGCCCAGCACCAGCCCCTGAGGACCAGCACCAGCTCCCTGCTGGGATCAGCAGTGGAGCTGGGACTGTGTGAAAGGCTGCGAGCATGGAATGCGTTAGTAAGAGTAGGGGTGGGAAGAGGGAGGCTTGGGACACTCTGCTTGTACTGGCTGCCAGAACTGTGACTGTCCAAAAGGCTGTGTAGGAGGGTGAAGGCAGGATGTGGATGGCCCTGATGCGCGGCCGCTTTTTGTTCTGAAACAAAAGGAAGTGCCACCTACAGCAAAGGCATCACCTGCTGAGCAACAGTCCTGCAGCCTTGGACTTCGGTTAGCAGAAGGTATTTTATTTTGTTTCTATATGTTTAGCTGCCGAGATCGGGCAGTTGTTTGCAGCAGAAGCGTGTCTGAGAGAGGATTTGAGCTAGGGAAAAAGCTGGATGAAAAATCATTGTGAGTTACTGGGCTTGAGGCTGGAACTGGTGGGTGGAGCTCGTGGTGTGTCATGCAACAGGTCAGACTGGATGGCTTGCAGTGGTCCTCTTTGACCTTGGCACTTACGGAACAATGTAGTTGATTATTTTATTTTATTTTTTGTGGGAAATGGTCAAATGCATGTGACTTGAGAGCTATCGGTTGCCAGGTGTTGTAGTGGAAATGTTTTCTGTGAAGGGAGCTGAGAACGCCTGCAAGCTGACTTTGAGCTGATGGAGCGCAGAGCTGGTGACCCACATCTCATCCCATTTAGCTACAAAGGATTTGAGATATCCCTTCTCCAGGTTGTCTTGTTTAGAGAGAGGTATCAATAGCAGTGTTTGTAACGCATCCTGATCATTTGCCACTGCGGTTCTACCGCTGTAGATTGTACCAGCTATTACAAAGCCGAGGATCCTCATCCCCGGCTTCAGGTAATGAGCCGGGGTTTGGTGGAGTGAAGGTAACTCAGCAAGTCAGTGGCAGGGCTGACAACCAAGAGCATCTCTCACGTCTTTCTTCTGGACCCGGCTGTCCCCGTGCGTGTGCTGCCCTTGTAAACCAAAGAATCGAATTCGGGTAGAGCAGGCTCGAAGTTCATTTTCCTGGTGCTCCTGCAACAGAAGGGGCTCAGGACCAGGAGTCCAGGTCATCAGAACTTTGCTTGGGGAATTTTGGCCAGTTTGCTTTTTATTACAGATGCCCTGCACTCCCTTTGTGAGTCTCTGCTGTGCTGAGGAATATGCAGGAGACCGGGATGTGCCTCATTGCTCTGGGCATCATAGCACCAAGGAGGTATCCTTTGCCTTGGGCCTAATCCTGTGCCTGTCTCCTCAGCTAGTGTCCTCCAGCCTCCAATACTCCCCATTGTCAAGCCCATGGGGGCGTTCAGGCAGAAGGCCGACTACTTACGAATCTCTCATCTGTTTGGAGACGGACTGGAAGGAGTGTTTTTAGGCAGTGTGCTAATAGGCAGCCTCTCTTGCACAATGCCTCTAGGTGATGGGTAATATGTTTCTTAAGTACATGTGGTTTTGTTTGTGTTTTTATATTGAACAGGAGAAGAACCCTTGAGATCAACATTGGGAGAAAGAAGAAGAGTAGTGAAGGAGTCGATGTGTGATGCAGGACAGGTCTGAGCCAAGGTGCAGAAGGTAAAGCACAAACAAACCCTGCAGTGTCAGTCTACTCCACACTGGGCATTAGATTGCTTCTTCCCTGGCTGTATTTTAACAGTCTACCAAAAAATCTCTGCACTCTTATAGCAACACTGTCCCTTCTCCCCATAGTCAAGTTAAAATAACAGCGAGATGAAGAAAGCTTGTAAAAGTTGGGCAGCACCAGTACAGTCTCACCCATGGAGTCTTAATCAAGCCCCTTACATATTTTTTTGGCCATCAACTCTTTTTTTTAATCATCTATTATTTGCTGAACGTTTTAGCCAAATTCAGTTGGCAGAACTGCAGGCAAAGAAGCAGCGTTTCACAATGTCCTGATTTCAGCAGTTTAAATTCTGATTTTGAAAGCAGTGTTGAATGTCACTTATGGTCTGAGCTCGCCGGCTCAGTGTCTGGGTGCCTCAGGATCTGAATCCCCGCACACAGCTCAGCGGGGGCAGTTGGGCTCTGAAACTGCTTGCACAATCTGAAAATTTTTCTTCTTTAGCATCATTCATTGGGCAGATTCTTGTCCCAAAATGCTTTGTAACCAAGGTAGGCTCACTGTGTGAGGATTAGTCTACAGGCTGCTGATGCACAGCTATTGCGGGGCTGTGTGGCTGACCGGGAACCACGGGCAATCTCACTGCAGAGGCTAGAGATTGCTGCCAGCAGCACATTTCTCCTTCTCCAGTTTTCCCTCTCACTCCTGTAATGAAGCCAGAGGATGAGATTTTGTGCCCTGCGCTGAGCTCCTTCAGGCAAACTCCAGAGTATTGTCAAAACTGCTGATGAATTTGGGCTTGAGCAAAGGTGAAGCATGAAGCAAAAGCATGAAGCAAAGTGGCTGGAGCATGGAGTCACTTCTGCCTCTGCCAGGGAGCAGCGTTTTCTGGCAGAGGGACGCAAGGGCACCAAGAGGCAGTTGCATCCTATGCAAAGCTACTCTGGCAGCCTGAGCTTTTGAGTGGAAGTAGCACATGGATTGTTACTGGGAGCTGCCACAGTTATTCAGGCTGGGATTTGGCTGCCAGATCTAACTCCTGCTCTTAGGAAAAGTTGGATGAAATGTAATGGCCCGTGATACAGCAAGAAGCAGACTGGGTGCTCTCAAGGTCCCTTTTGGCCTTGAACTCTACTAATCTGTGAAAAAAATCACAGCTGCATCTCTAATAACACATGACCAGTTCAAGCCCCTGTTTTGACTTGCTGTCAAAAGATTTCTCCAGGAGCGCTGTGTCCTTCTGTGTCATGTTTGGAGCATCTGCTCTGTATATACTTGGGTTGAACCGCTTCCAGCAGACTTAGCAACTGTGCTGGTGATTTCCTCCAGGAAATCCAACCATGCAGGGCAGTGTTTAGCTTGTGGGATTGTGGCAATCAAGTCATAATGGCACTCTCTGAAGTTGCCCCCCCCCCCCTTTTTTTTTTTTTAATTATTTTTAACCTGTTAGCTGTCTGCCCATCCCCAACCACATATCTGTACATCTAAGGGTTTTTTTTCTGCCTTGTTCAAGTGAAAGAGTAAATCCTTTTTAATTTATTCCGGAGCAGCCCTTGAGCTCAGCTCCTGTGAGAGCCTGCTGACTTTGAGTTCAAAAAATTCTCACGTCTTTGAGGCCAGGCTATGGTCTTCCATCTTGCCTCAAAGTTAAACTGAAAGAGAAAATTCTTTTTTTTTTCTTAAAAAGAGAGAAAGAGAGAAAATAAGCATGCTGTGTAAGGGAATCGGGTCTTACCTGCAGCAGAAGAGAATATCAATGTGCAGAATTTCAGGTTAAAATCTGGTTGTTTAGTGAAGGCTTTATTTTCAAGCACCTAGCATGTTGTTTAGTAAGTGTTTCGTAGAGATAAAGACTTCCTTTTAAAGCAGTGCTGTTGGCTGGCTGGGATCCAGCCTGTGATCCTACATTAAAGCGTTTTTCGGTGTTTAAACCGCTACATTTCCGTGGTGGCTAAAAATGGTAGTTCTGATCCCTAATTTCCTGCAGATCTGCTGATAACAAGGTCTGGCTCAGGCCGAGTTTTGCGTCGCTAACTCCTGAGTTCGGTCTTTATGTCTGCGCTGAATTTCACTGCAGGCAGGAGTGTTGGTCACTGGCATAATTGCCTGGTTGTTTTCAGGAACAAACACTGAAAGATAGGCCAGGGACATCGCAGGTCAACATTAGGCTTAACATCTGCCTCAGTCTCGGCGTTTTCTTTTCCTTGCTGTCCAACTCAAGGTGTTTGGAGGTAGAAGCGAAGCTGCTCGAACGTGGGCTCTAGCACATGCGCCGAGCAAGGAAGACTTGCTTTTAAATGTGGATTTCTAATGCTTAACTTCTAACGTCATCCTGTGGAGCAATATTAAATGTGTCCAACAGTTGTTGTGCATATCAAATGACCGTCTTGACATACCAGAGGGGTTGGGTGTGGTTGATACCTTAAAATGCCTGTTATGCTGGATGCTATAGTGATGAATATGAAGTATTAAGCCCTATACCAAAGATGAGCTGTGCACCTTGAAAGGAAGGAAGGAGGTGCAGATAGCTATCTGGTGCATATATAAAAAAAAGTGTATGTATAGAGCAAAATAAATATGTAAGAGCTATTATATGCTAGCTCTCTTCCATAGGGCCCTGCTTAGGGCCCAAATTTATGCAGTTGTTGCTACAGCTGTGTGTTTGGAAGGGCAGAGGTAATAGATGGAAGACCTTTGATATATGGGGACCTTCCTTTTAAAAAACAGCTCTTCTGAGCAAGGTGACCTTGGCTCTGCTTCTAACTTGGGAAACCAGCAATGCGGTGGAAAGGGGATGCTGATCAGTGCAGTGAAGGCTCGGTTGGATGCCAGCAGAAGATAAAACATTGGTTGGGTTGGTCTGGAGTTTTAACCGTAAGTGGGGTTGTCAGGGCTGCCACGTAAAACTGTGGGTACTCTCCCAAACTTGCGTGTATTGAATATATACCTGGGAGGTGTGTATCTGTATTTTTTTTTTTTTTTTTTAAAAAGCTCCAATGTTGGTGTGGCATACTGGGGAGAAAAACAGCTTTCTTACCTGCCTCCAAGGTACACAATGATTTGCTGGCAGAGTAAACGACAGCTCAGCTAGCCCTTACAGGCATGGGGAAAGTTTCATGCGATATTTTGCAAGCCATTCTTAGCAAACTCTTCATTTTCAGAAACCCTTCCTTTCAAAGTTTTATAGTTCATGGAACATGTGCGTGAGAACACCTTGGTGTTTATACCCGTCTTTTGGGTATTGAGAAAGCCAGCTGAAACTACAGTTATTTTCTGGCATGTCTGCGTACAGTAAATCCACACAGCTCAGGTTACGATACAAGGATGGGTAATTGACTCTTCTTTTGTTCTGTTACCACTTCTCCTGCTCTTTCTTCAGCAGAGAAAAACCGCACATTGACCTCCTCCCGCAAACCTGTGTTCTGAGCCAGCAATAAAGTAGGAAAATTTTTTTTCCCCAAATCTAATTTGAAACATGATGACTGGACCATTCTTAAACAGCTTCCAACTTAACAATAAAGAAACTTCACAGAGTGCTCGGCAGGAGCCTCTGTACATAATTTAGATCATAATCAGATGCATTAACACATTTTATATGGATCTCATGGGGTCCAAGAAGACGAGGTGTGCTGGGTAATTTCTTTCCAGATTTCTTTACCTGATTGTTTATTACTCTTGGGGACTTCATTTGTGGTCCAAATGTCACCAGCAGAATCCTGCTGCTTCATGTGCCTGCATTTAGAGTAGCTAGTAGCAAGGCTTCAAATAACCTAATTGGTGTGTTATTGTCAGTCTTTCCATCTGTGTATGTCAAAGGGAGGATGGAGAGTACGTGGGGAGGGAGAGAGGCGAGAGGAACAAAAGCAAGGACCCAATTCTGCAAATTGCTGAGCTTCCCCTGTGCCGACAGCTCAGTGGGAGGGAAGGTGCCGAGAGTGCTCGACGAGTAGTGTGTTTCCAGCTGAGTACAATCATGAGCTCTGCTTCTAGAGAACTGCACGGGGGAAGCGCTCCCTCCCCACCTTTTCATTTTAGCTGTTAAACATAAGCAGCTCTAATTTTATAAAGCTTTTGAAAGCTTTTCAGCACTCTGTGCAAAGAAACGATCGTATATCATTCGCATTGCTTCATTGTTTTGCCATGAATCCACCCATGCCAAAAACATCCTTGTTGTGAAATCTCTCCTTTGACAGAAGATTCTGTTGCTGCTTTGGTAAAGGATGTTTTGGATTTCTTTCTGTTCTGCTGGTTTGTATTATCCCCTCAAAAGGTGGGCAGTGAAGTTCCCTGTCACTTCAATGTCTCCTTTATACATGCTGAAGTAATAACCTTTCCCATGTGTTTCATGGGTATTTATTTGTTACTAAATGCTGTGAACTAGTGTAACATCAGGATTCCCAATCCTTCCCCAGCTGTGGGCTGTTGAGGCCAGGCTCTGCTCCGAGATGCACAGCTCAGGGTTGGGAGCCTGGTCACTGGGGCGCAAGGAAACGCTCCTGGGCACCGGGACTCGCTTGCCCAGGGTGAAACCCACCAGCAGTGGCCTCGGCCGGCTACCATTGACCCACACGATCCCCAGCCGTGGGCCAGAAGTCAGCACAACTAGGAACTGAACCCACAAGGCAGGTTGGATGTAGCCACTGTGTTCAGGAAGGTGTGAAAGTTTTAAGAGCACGAAAGTGGCTGGATCACACCAGCTGGACTTGGGGCCAGAGAACGGGTGGATGTACTGGCGTAGCCTCGGGGCCACGGCAGCCCGTACCGAAAACCGAGCCCCTCTTTCCCCTTCGTTCTGTGATACTGAAACTGAAAACAACCCCTGACTGGAAGGCCACAGTGTTTTACTGGCATGCAGCGAAGGAGTGCTGTGGCACGGTGCTTTGGGTGCTGTGCACAACCTACAGGCAAACTGCGCCAACTAAAGCCCTTGTGTCTAAAACAGGTTTGAGTGCAGAAGATCCTTTGGAGGCCAAAAGAGAAACACTGATTTCTG